AATACTTCCTCGATCTCGTATATTCCATGACAACGTGCATGTCATGCTTCCCATCGTCACCAAATCTAACCATAAACCACCGCTCGTTCAAGATCCTTCGGCTGCTCGGCGAGGGCGGCTTCTCGTATGTCTACCTCGTGCAAGACACCTCCGGCGCCCTCTACGCCCTCAAGAAGATCCGCTGTAATTCCCCCCCCCCTCCCCCCTCTCTCACCCCCCTCAAAGCTAACACCTCGCAGGCCCGTTCGGTCAGGAGTCTGTCCAGCGCGCAATGAAGGAGGTCGAAGCTTACAAGCTCTTCTCGCACCCAAATATAATCAAGTCCATTGACTACACCATCACGACCGACTCGGGCCGCAGCGGGGCCACGATGATTGGGCGCGACAGCGAGGACGATGGCACGCAGAAGACGGTGTATATCCTGCTGCCGTACTTTAGGCGAGGGAATCTGCAGGATGCAATTAACGCGAACTTGATCAACCATACGGTCTTTCCCGAGGGGAAACTGATGAGGCTGTTTCTGGGCGTGTGTAAGGGCCTACAAGCGCTACATCAGCATAGACTTAAGGAGCCTGGCGCGAGGGTTGGGGGTGGAGTCGAGGGCGCGGAGGAGGAGGGGGCGCAACCGTTGATGTCAAGTGAAGTGCGGAGCCAGAGGGAGGGTGGGCAAGAGGGCGATATTAGGGCGTATGCGCATCGTGATATCAAGCCTGGTTAGTGCCAGAATATCTTCCCATTACTATCGCCACTAACAAATTCAACAGGCAACGTCATGATTGATGATGACGGCCTAACCCCCATTCTGATGGATTTTGGCTCCCTGACCCCCTCGCCAACGCCAATCACCTCCCGCACCCTCGCCCTCTCCGTCCAAGACTCGGCCGCTGAGAACTCCACAATGCCCTACCGTGCCCCTGAGCTCTTTGATGTCAAGACTGGTTCCGTCCTCGACGACAAGGTCGACATCTGGTCCATGGGGTGCACCTTGTACTGCGCCCTATACGGGCACTCCCCATTCGAGCTAGCCACCGAAGAGTCTGGCGGGAGTCTTGCGCTCGCAGTCTGCTCAGGGAGCTACACATTCCCGGAGGAAGGCCGCCTCGGCGGCAGGAAGCCGGGGCAGAAGAAGGTCAGCGAGAGCGTGAAGGACGTGGTCAGGATGTGCCTGAAGGTGGAGCCGAGCGAGAGGCCGGGTATCTCGGAGCTGATCCAGATTGTGGAGAAGGTCATTTCGGAGCTGGGAGAGGATGATGAGGAGTAATTGATGTTTAGGGGGCCGGGGTCGGGGGCGGGGGCCGGGGCGGGGGGGAGAGGTACAGTAGATAATATAACCTTTTTGTGTTGTTACTTTTTTCTTCTTTTTGTTGTTGGCTGTTGTTTCTTGTGCTTTGTATAGCTGTTGCAGTGGTTAGTGATACCGCCTGGAGTGAGAGGGAGGGGGGTAATTGAAAAAAAAATACTCAACTGCACTACTGCAGCGTTTCGGTGGGTGTGGAGGGGGGCAGGAAAATGTAGGAGTGAATGCTGACTTGGCGGTGTATCATTGACTTGAATTTCCCTTGGCTTGTTGAATTCTTATCACCCGAGTCCTTGTACCATAAGCTCTTGCAAAAAGCAAAAAAACGATTCCTGCACCGCCGGTGCATCATCACATCCCAGTCTAACCACTATCTCGGTCATAAGCCCTCACTCGACCCGCGGCCGCTGTCTGTACACCCACGTACGAGCGCACTACCTGCGCCCGGATGCTGGTGATCAGCAGAACACGCGAGCGAGTGAGGGTCTGTGAACTGCACTGCCCTACCTTGGTTGGGGGGGCAGCGGAGGCGACGGGGCTGTAGCTCGATCTGGGGCGTAGTGCAATCCCGCGTGGAGGGGGCGGGACGGCATTGACGGGTTGGGGGGGGGGGGGGGGGCGTATGGCGGTGGGATGGGCGCCGGATGACTCTTTGGGTGGTGCGTTTGGAGGGGCGGGGGGGCGGGGGGCGGGGAGGAGGGGTACGTTGGATACAGGCATGGGCTCCTGCCCCTCTCGGTGGGGCTCTGGTGGGTATACATGTAGCTATGTACATAATGTGCCCAGCCTGAGAGCGTCGGGGGATGATGGACATTCGGTGGTGTCTCGACAACGAGAGAGTGGATGCCCACATGGGGAGGGCATGTAGAGCTCAACTTGGGCCTGACGATGAAAGGGTAAAAAAAAAAAAAGAATGTCTGTCTGTCTGTACTGTCATCGATGTATTTTGGGTTGTTTCTTACTATATATATATATTTTGTTGCTACCCCACGGCGACTCTCGGTCTTGGCAGTGGGTGTTTTATTTTTTTCAAAACACAGGCCAGGCATAGCAGAGATGTTGTGTATCAGAGTTCTGGCTGTAGGCGGTGTTTGGTGCTGTGTCAGAGATATAGAGCTTTGGGCCAAGATGTGCATCACCAAAACTCCCAACACCCTGGGTACATACATGTAGCTATACCCCCCTGTAGTGCTGCCGGGGGAGGCACCTCCAGCTAAGCACCTACGTCCCTTTTTCTACCCCCCTCTGGATAAAGCATAGGTGTCCCTGTCCGGCGGCGTTGCTTTACGGTTTAGCACTGTGTCGAGGCCGGCAGCGGGTCTGGCTGTCTGGACTCTGTGTGTTTATGTACATATACCGTCTTTGGGGGGGGGGGGGGGCACTGTATCTATAAAGAAGCACTACGTGCATGCAGTTCCATCTACATACTCTTACCAGCAACCAGTCATCTATGTACATACCAAGACGATCCGCTCCGACCAGCTCGTCTCTGCGCTCTGGATAACACGTGCCAGGCCCAGCCCCGGGAGGGGTGTGAGGGCCGGATATGTAGATAGGCGCATGTGCCAGATGTCCAGGCGGACGGGTCGAGTGAGATGCTGTGACCGCGGGTGGAGGTATGGATACATTCATTACACACCGGGCTTGGTGTTTGCGGTGTGTCTACAGGGTCGGGTGGGATAAAGCTGGGAAGCGCGTGTTTGCTCTGGGGGTGGGGGTGGATTCAGGCATTGGGGGTTGGCGGTGGAGTCGGGGTCGTGGGTTCTCACTCGGAGAAGGATGGGGGCCTAATTCATTAATTACAGGATAGGTAGGAGCCTTGTTTTGCGGCGGGGATTGAGTCATTGTTTTGTCCGACGACACGGCTGGTACTTGGGGGTAATGCTTGGGTGCTTGTAAGTGAAGGTATGGCACTAAAGGCCGGGTGGTGTCTAGATCCTTTACTGGGCACTGTATCACTGTTTATGGGTCTGCAATGATTCTTGAACTACGCGCCATCACTTCCTATAAAAAAAACTTTTATTCAACTTCAACTACTCTGCTACCCCCCCCCCCCCCCCTACTCCACCGGCCTCCTCGCCACAAACCTCAACCTCACATAATTCACCACCATCTCACCCCCCTCCCTCCTCCCCACCCCCTCCAACACGTCCACAACCTCCCTCACCACCCCCTCCCTCTCCCCCTCCCCCACAGCCCCCAAAAAGCTCTCCCCAAACAGCCTCACCCACCCCTCCACGCCCCCGCCCTCCACCTCCGTCAGCACCGTCTGCCGCAGCTCCGTCTCCACAAGCTCAACATCAAACCCCGCCCCGCGCAACAACCCGCGCACCCCCTCCTCCGTCGCAAAATACCACGGCGACGCCGCCACCGCCGCCCCCACGCCCACCCCGCGGTGGACAAGCGCGCTGACCAGCGCCGCATGCACCTCCGCCACATTACCCGCCGCGCCGAGTTCAGCAACAAACACGCCCCCGGGCTGCAGCAGCTCGAGGGCGCCGCGGAACACGTCCGCGCGCGTGGCAGGGTCGCGTAGGATCCAGTGGAGGGCGGCGTTGGAGACGAGCTTTGTGTAGTGCTGCTGCTGCTGCGGGTGCTGCGCAAAGGTGAGGAGGTGGCGGCAGTCGAGGAGGGTGTAGGCCGTGGTGGGGGTGGAGTTGTGCTGGCGCGCGGCGGCGAGCATGGATGGGGAGGCGTCGAGGCCGAGGATGTGGGCGCAGTGGTGGGAGAGCTGGGCGGTGAGCAGGCCGTCGCCGCAGCCGAGGTCGAGGAGGGTGTCGGTGTGGTGGGGGGCGAGGAGGGTGGTGAGGCGGGTGGTGAGGTGGGGGACGAAGGGGGCGGTGAGGGCGTAGCTGGTGGGGGACCAGTGGTCGGGTGGGGGCGCGGAGGGGGAGGGGGTGGTCATTGTTGTGGTGTGTGTGTGTGTGGTGGGTGGTGGGTGTGGAGAGAGGAAGAGAGAGAGAGATGGGCCCTTTGTCTGCTTGTGCAATTGCTTGTCTACCTGCTGTTCTGCCCGATTCTTCTCTCAATGGGCCCGGTATTTATGCCTTCTTTCTCTCTCCCAGAGCCCTAGCGCAGAGCAGCGATTGACTCATAGCTGCCCCCCATCGTCGGAGAGCTCCAGTGGGGATTCATGCAATTCATGCAATTCGCAATTCACTGTCCCTGTCGACGTCGGGGGGCTGCCGTGGGGACGAAGCCAGCTCCCACGTTCTTGTGTGTAAACGAGATACTTAGCTGTGACACTCAGAGTCAGAGTCAGAGCCAGCAGGAGTTTCGGCGCGGGACTGTGGGGGGATATGCAGGTTCGTGGGAGCTGGGGGCTGTTTTGGGACAGACAGCTACACGCAGTATAGTAAGTACATAGCTGTTACTATAGCTGTAGCTCATTGATGGGCAGCAACAAAAGCGAAGAACCTTCACAGCGCAGCCCGCAGCCCCAACAACCGCTGAATCGCCATCCGCGACATCGCCGTGCCATATATATACACTTGCAGTTCGCGGCGTTGCGCGGTGGTGGTGATGGTGGAGGTGATACCAACCCAACCCACCCACCCACCCGGAGTTCCACCGCGGGGGGCCAACACGCGCACCCACCCCCACCGCCATGTTAACCGCAGTTAATTAACCTCCCTCCCCAGCAGCAGCCAAGAGAGGCTGGGCGCTCAAAGGACAGCCCTCAGCGACCGACAGGCATCTGGATACCCCCGTGACGCAGCGGTTAGCGTGTCGTTCTTATACAGAGTAACATCTCCGAAAGGGGTAACTTGTATGCAGCTATGCGAAAGTCGTGAGTTCGAATCTCACCTGGGGTAGATTTCTTTTTTTGCGTGGCGAGGGTGTGGTGTGGTGTGGCGTGGCTCTGCGCGTGTCGAGGGTCTGGGGGGAGGTGTGGGTTGGGTGGGTTGGGTGGGTTGGGTGGGTGGGTGGGGGCGACAGGCTTGGGAGTGGGGGCGGGCGCGGGGATGGGACGGGGATGGGGATGGGTGGGGTCATGGCGGATCACTCGGCGGGGTGTTAACATTTAACACTGGGTTTTGGATCCTCTAACAGCCCCAGCCCGCCCAAGTATTAATTAACACATCAAGAAATAACAGCTACTATCGTACACGCCCCGTTTCCAATCAACTACCCAGCTAGCCATGCAGGTCCTCCTCCACGCCCGGACACCCCTCCATCTCGGCATCCTCATACCTACACTTGCACCAAAAGCAATACCGATACTCCCTCCTAAGGTATCCACACAACGCGGCCAGCCTCTCCCCCACCCCCCTCGCCTCCTCCCTCTCCAACTCACTATCCCCCTCCTCCCCCTCCCCCCCCTCCTCCTCCTCATCCTCCACCACCACCGCCGTCCCCAGCCGCCGCAGCGCTGGCACCGTGATCCCCAGCGCCGCCTTATCAACCTCATCCAGCTCGCAGTCCCTCACGCACCCTGGCAGCCGCGGCGTGTCCAGGCTCTGCGACAACTCATACCGCATCCGGCGCTCGCGCTCCGCGGCCTCGCGCCGCGCAACGAGCCCGCGCCACAGCACGTTGATGGCTCTTAGCGGCACTGTGCGCACGCCACCAGCACCACCACCACCACCGCCGCCGGCGCGCTCGCACTCAAACTGCTCGGCGAGCTTCTGGGCGGCGAGGAGCTGCGCCTCGCGGCGGCGCGTCTCTTGTTCCTCGGCGACGCGGGCGCGGTAGTCTTCTGGTGACAGATGGGCGGCGGTGGTGGTGGCGGTGGTGGAGGTGGAGGTGGAGGTGGTGGCGAGTTTGGCGCGCTGCGCGGAGGCGTGGCCGATGCCGGTGCGGTCGGATTTGAGTGTGACGGAGAGGGGCTCTAGTATTGCTGTTGTGGTTGTGGTTGTGGTTGTAGCTGTGGTGGCGGAGGAAGGGGAGGTGGCAGTGGCAGTGGAGGAGGAAGGGGGAGGGGGAGGGGGAGGGGGCGCGCCGAGGGCAGATCCGGGCGTGAAGCCCATCTTGCGCATCATGAGGAGGCCCTTGCTTGGTGTTTTTGTGTCGAGGAGGGAGGTTGCGAGGGCGGCGTCGCGGTGGGCTTTTGCGAGTGCTGCCAGCTCGGCTTTGGATTTGGGGCGGGCGCGGATCTCGGCCTGGGTGGGAGTTAGTTGTGGGGGGGGAGTGGAAGGGGGAAGGGGGGGGGGAGGGGGGGAGGGGGTACTTCGAGCTGGAGGCGCTTCTTGCGCTGCGAGAAGGTTTCGGGCGCGCTGGGCTCCGCAATGGTCATGTTCATGTAGTCGTCCTCATCGTCGTCGTTGGCGGGCTGTGGCGGGGGGGGAGTGGTGGTGGTGGTGGTGGTGGCGGTGGTGGTGGTTGTTGTTGGGGGCTTCTGCTGGAAGGGGCGCTTCTTGCTCGTGGGGCCGCTGCTGGCGTCGGAGTCGGAGTCGGGGTCGAGGGGGTTTGGGAGCGGGCGCTTGCGGGTGGCCATTGTGCGGGGAGGGTGTGGTGGTGGTGGAGAGTGAGTTGTGGGGAGGTCGAGGGCGGCGGTGGTGGTGGTGGTGGTGGTGGTGCGTGTGCCAAGGAAGAGGCTTAAAGTGTGGGAAGCTCAGGCTGCAGGGGTGCCGGTGATTGGTTGCCCGAGTGAGAATTTGTGATTGGAAGCGCTTGATGGCTACTTGTACCCAGTAATAAGCGTGATCTATAGGTTACATATCAAGCAGCGAGACGGGTCTTAAGAAGCCTCTCGATCCAACTAGTCTAGTCGTTTCCCACGAAGCTCAAGATTTGTAGTTATGGCGAACGAGTCAATTTGATCCTATATGTAGAAAGAGAGATCTAGAAATGAGAGAGAAACGGAGGCAAAAACAAAAAAGCACCCTTTGATAACCCAAGGGATATAGATCCTTGCCCAGAAACAGATGACCATGCAGACTATGAATAAATCAAAAAAAAGAGAAAAAGTAGAAGAAAAGAAACAAAGGGAAAATGAAGAAAAATAGAAAAAGAGATACCCGCATCAATACTCCCCAAAAACTCCAACCTCCTCCGGAAACAAAAAACAGATAAGAACCATAATCCCCCCCACACACCGCACAGACAACAGCTCCCCATATATATTCGCTGATCACCAACCCTCATCCATAACACCATCTATCGAGGGAAGTATATCGCTCGCCTGGCCCCCAAGGCCTGGTCTGTTCACGAGTAACGTGGGTCGTTTGCTTCTAACTGCTCCGGTGCCCCTGGGTGTTCCCGCTTTCTGGTGGCATTGTGCTGTGTATCTTGAACAAGGCGCGTTGTGGATACGGGTAAGCGTTCAACACAACTTTGCAGAAAGCGAGCTATCTCTGGATATCTCCATCTTTCTGCCAGTTGCAGTGGTGTTCTTTGGTATTTGTCCTTCGCGGAGACATCTGCACCATGATCGATGAGCAGTCGGACTATTTCCAGGCGCCCCCGCTCCGCTGCCATATGCAGCGGTGTTCTTTGGCCATTGTCCTTCGCGGAGACATCTGCACCATGATCGATGAGCAGTCGGACTGTTTCCAGGTGCCCACTCTTCGCTGCCTTATGCAGCGGTGTATTTTGACCACTGTCCTTCGCGGAGACATCTGCACCATGATCGATGAGCAGTCGGACTATTTCCAGGTGCCCCCCCTCCGCTGCATTATGCAGCGGTGTGTTTTGGTATTCGCCCTTCGCGGAGACATCTGCACCATGATCGATGAGCAGTCGGACTATTTCCAGGTGCCCCCCCTCCGCTGCATTATGCAGCGGTGTTCCTTGGTATTTGCTCATCGCGGAGACATCTACACCATGACCGATGAGCAGTCGGACTATTTCCAGGTGCCCACTCCCCGCTGCCCTATGCAGCGGTGTTTCTTGGTCATTGTCCTTCGCGGAGGCATCTGCACCATGATCGATGAGCAGTCGGACTATTTCCAGGTGCCCACTCTTCGCTGCCTTATGCAGCGGTGTTTTTTGGTATTTGGCCTTCGCGGAGACATCTGCACCATGATCGATGAGCAGTCGGACTATTTCCAGGTTCCCCCTCTTCGCTGCCCCATACAGCAGTGTATTTTGGTCACTGTCCTTCGCGGAGACATCTGCACCATGATCGATGAGCAGTCGGACTATTTCCAGGTGCCCCCCCTCCGCTGCATTATGCAGCGGTGTTCTTTGGTATATGCCGCCCTTCGCGGAGACATCTGCACCATGATCGATGAGCAGTCGGACTATTTCCAGGTGCCCCCCCCCCGCTGCATTATGCAGCGGTGTGTTTTGGTATTTGTCCTTCGCGGAGACATCTGCACCATGATCGATGAGCAGTCGGGCTGTTTCCAGGTGCCCCTCCTCCGCTGCCCTATGCAGCGGTGTTTCTTGGTATTTGTCCTTCGCGGAGACATCTGCACCATGATCGATGAGCAGTCGGACTATTTCCAGGTGCCCACTCCACGCTGCATTATGCAGCGGTGTTCTTTGGCCATTGTCCTTCGCGGAGACATCTGCACCATGATCGATGAGCAGTCGGACTGTTTCCAGGTGCCCACTCTTCGCTGCCTTATGCAGCGGTGTATTTTGACCACTGTCCTTCGCGGAGACATCTGCACCATGATCGATGAGCAGTCGGACTATTTCCAGGTGCCCCCCCCCCGCTGCATTATGCAGCGGTGTGTTTTGGTATTTGTCCTTCGCGGAGACATCTGCACCATGATCGATGAGTAGTCGGGCTGTTTCCAGGTGCCCCTCCTCCGCTGCCCTATGCAGCGGTGTTTCTTGGTTATTGTCCTTCGCGGAGACATCTGCACCATGATCGATGAGCAGTCGGACTGTTTCCAGGTGCCCCCCCCCCGCTGCATTATGCAGCGGTGTTCTTTGGCCATTGTCCTTCGCGGAGACATCTGCACCATGATCGATGAGCAGTCGGGCTGTTTCCAGGTGCCCCTCCTCCACTGCCTTATGCAGCGGTGTTCTTTGGCCATTGTCCTTCGCGGAGACATCTGCACCATGATCGATGAGCAGTCGGGCCACTTCAATGTGTGCTTCATTCGCTGCATAATGCAGTGCGGTATATCCGTGATATTTATCGTATCTTGTCATGATATCATTTTGCTCGAGGACAATTCGAAGCGCTGAGCAATGTCCTATTATGGATAGCAGCTGTAATAGCGATTGTTTAGGTATACGTCTGTTGAAGGGCCAACCATAATGATCTCCCATGCGAGCTTTGAGACAAAGACTTCTTGTCCGCGAATAAAACTCAACCATATGCTGGTTTCCGAAGAGTTTAAGGATAAGTTCCGTTGTCAAATTTTCATCACAATGCCTTAGGTGCAATGGTAGATGCGTGACTACATACTCTAAGAAGGGGAAATCATGTTCAGGCCATTGGAAGATACTCTCAAGACCGGAGATCTTATCTTCAATGTCGGCTCTAACCTTAGTGCTATACTTATACTTCCAGTAACCGACTTCAGCCTTACGACCAAATATGTCATGTTCAGGCCAGTTGACGCTAGTCTTGCCGCTGAATATATCGAGCATGAGAAATGATATAGAAGATGTGACAATAAATAGGTTAGCCTCCTCAGGAACCAGAAGGATCCTCAATAGATATTCCTGAACCGTGTAATGCGCAAGACGCACTATCCCGCTATTCTCATCGATTATCACTAACCCAGCGCAAGCATCAAGAAGAGTCTTTTTGTTTGGTAAATCATCTTCTTCGAGCTCAGTGATACCGGGTTCCATAGATACCGCAATTTGAAGCTCATCGAGGGAAAGAGTTCTCTGAGCCTTCACGAGCCAGGTAAAGACGCTTTTTGCCAGTTCGAAATTTGCGGGCTGAGATCGGATCGATTCTATA